CGTCGGCCTTGAATATGATTGGTCGTTTTGTACAGCTTTTATTGGCTGATAACCAAGACTGTCACTGATGTGCACGTACAAGCACTCGCAAGCGGGGTAGCGTTACAGCAGGCGTCTGGAGTACGTGTCCATCGTGTACCCCACAGTAGGGTGGGCGCAGAAAGGGTGACATGCGTGTGGATTCCCTTACAGTGATAGTAAACTTTCGCTGTATCTAATCCTCTCTCCACTCTCTTACCCTCCTGAGCCCGATATCATGACAGAGATATGAAGACTGGAGACAGGGTCAGGCGCAATGGCTGACAGAGCTAAGCAGTCTAACTACGCGCACCATGGACCACGATTTCACACAAACAACAAAGTAACGGTTTGGATCGCAACTAAGTGGGAGCGCCATAAAGGTCACATTGAGAAGGAACTATCGACGACTGGCTCCTCATCCTGAGAGGAGGAACGAATTACTCTTTCAGTTGGTAGCCTTCCAAGCCACGACTTTTAACGCGTTATGATGGCGTAAAAGCAAGTCAGTTTGTTTATTGGGAAGAATATGCACTGAGTATTGTTGACGTCACTCTTTCTCCCCTCTCTCTTTGCACCATTCGAGCGTCATTCCTATGAAATTTCGAACATTCTGGATTTTACTCGAAAATCAGCGAGCACATTTTTCAAGGATAGATCATCAGACCAATGACCACGGAGTTCCGGTGAGAACTTTGTGTAGCTCTGGCTTGGAGTGGGTGTGTGTCAGGCTGTTGACCGTAAATCAGTCGGAAATCGTCATTCAATTATCTATCAACTTAGTAGAACAGGCCTCTTAACTGTCAATTTTCTATCACTCTAAGACAGCCGCTCAGCGTCAAACAAAAAGTTCCTCTTCCTTTCAGTCCATGTGAATAAAGGGAGACAAAAGTGTTTGTGTATAGTTAATCGTCGATCAATATTCATGGGGGATATATTTTGGGGGGCGAAGTCTCACTCACATGAACCTTGATTTATGCTTGGATTATATGTAGTGCACTTGTCTTCATCCTTACCTTAACAGCGGCAATTACCATTTTTTATTATGAACAGGATATAAGCATGAGTTAGCGAGCTGACTCTCAACCGAAAACTATATGACAAGCTGGGGACAAAATTACAGAGAGGTGAGTTAAAACTTGAACAGAAACGATACGCGAACGCCATCGGCTGCAGCTAGCTTTCAAGTATGCTATGCTTTATAGAGCTTTGATAAGTAACCAAGATATTCGGTTGTAGGGATCTCGTACCTCAGCAGTACACCTGGCGAACTCGATCCGCTCTCTCCTGCAATCAGGAGGATAAATGTCCCAAACACAAGCAACCCATTAGAAAATAACGACATATGATCATCTGGATTTTTAGTTGCACTTCACCCTCGCTGATGAGTTGATTTTAAACGTAATGTAGCCGTATCAAGTGCAGGAATGCTCAGGCGTCTGAAACTGCCGCTCTTTAAAAACCTGTGATATCGTCCCAACTAGACTTCTATTTTCGATAGCCGACAAACGGTTTCTATAAAATTTACTTTATGTTTACTGTAAGTATTCTGCACATCTTAAATATTCTGTTGTCTTTGTCTTGTGTCCTCTACAAGTTCGAACCAACTTGAAGAAACCTGGTCCAGGTTAAACCCCGCCAACTGGCATACACTGAGTGGCCCTGCTGACCGGCTATTCGAACTTAATGAAGACCTAAATAAATAAATAAACATG